GAAGCTTGGCTGTAGATGATAGAGGCGTTGGAGCTGGGTGTGAATCCGCCATGCCGAACCGGCGAAGGATGTCATTGACATATTTTTGTTGAGAAAGAACATAGCTGTCGCCGGTGGAAAGAACCTCAATGCCAAGAAAATAGCCCACAGAGCCGAGGCACTTGAGAGAGAAGCGGGCAGCAAGGCGGGTCTGGAATTGAGTGACAGCCGCTGCATCATTACCTGTCAACAACAGATCATCGACATACACCAAGAAGTAAAGAGTCACGTCGCCTTTGTGATAGACAAAGAGGGAGGAGTCCGACCGGGACTTGAGAAATCCTTCCTGAGTAAGAAAACCAGAGAGCTCCATGTACCAAGACCTGGGGGCCTGCCGGAGACCGTAAATGGGGCGATGCAGCTGGCAAACAGAATCAGGATGCGCCGGGTCACGAAAGCCCGTCGGTTGGGCCATGTAGACAGTTTCATGAAGGGAGCCTTGCAAGAAGGCATTGTTTACATCATACTGATAAATCGGCCACTGATTAGAGAGGGCGATGGAGAATACCGTGCGCACAGTGACCGGCTTAAGCACGAGGCTGTATGTGTCGTGGAAGTCAATACCAGGCCGTTGGGTGAAGCCCTTGGCCACCAACCGGGCCTTGAACCGAGCAACGGAACCATCAGGATGACGCTTTATGCGGAATACCCAACGACAATTGACAATGTGTTGGTGCAGAGGCCGGGAAACAAGAGACCAGGACTTGTTGGCGAGAAGAGCAGCAATTTCGGCTCGCATAGCAGCACGCCACCGTGGGTCAGCAAGGGCTTGCTTGACCGAGGTAGGTTCAACCTCAGGAACAGCAACCTGCACATGAAAGAGCTTTTTCGGACAGAAAATACCCCTTTGGCTTCGAGTAACTGGGCGGTGAGCAGGTTTCACCGGTGGAGGCGGCAGCCGACTTTGTTGTGAGGTCGTAGCACGCGGGGAGGCAGCCGGAGAAGGGGGGGATGGCGTCGGCGAGGTTGCTGGTGGCGAGGGTGCTTGGAGCGGACGAATGGGATGGCGGGTGGAGGGAGATTTGGAAATGACAAATTGAGTAACAGGGGGGGTAGTGATAGCGACCCAATCAGGGGAGGTACATAGAGAAGCAGGCGAAGGAGAGGGGATGCCAGGGAAGAGTGATTCATCGAACTGAACGTGACGGGAGGTGTAAATACGAGAGGTGAGAGGATCGTAACATAGATAGGCACTTTGGGTGGGCGAATAACCAAGGAAGAGACAACGACGAGAGCGAGGGGCGAGTTTGTGAGGGGCGTATGGGCGTAACCAGGGGTAGCAGACACAGCCAAACACACGAAGTTTGAGATAGTTAGGTGGTTCGTTGAACAAAGTAAAAAATGGGGTAGCACCACGAAGAGAGGTGGAGGGAAGAAGATTTATGAGGTAAACAGCCGTACGAAAGGCATGGGACCAAAATCGAAGGGGAAGATTAGCAGTATGAAGCAAGGCAAGTCCGGTTTCGACAACGTGACGGTGTTTGCGCTCAGCCAGGCCGTTGTGTTCAGGGGTATGAGGCGGGGTGAGAAGATGGGTAATGCCATGGGTTTGGAAGAAGGAACAGAGTTTTTGAAATTCACCACCACCATCACTGTAGACACGACGAATGGTGGTGTGGAAATAATTTTCAACCATCGCTTTGTATGTCATAAAAACGTTATGAACGTCAGATTTACGAGAAAGTGGATACAACCATGTATAGCGAGAGAAGTGATCAACAATGACCAAATAATAAGAAAAATTATCATGTGATAAAATGGGAGAAGGTCCCCAAACATCCATAAACAATAAATCAAATGGCCGAGAGCTGGTGAGACTGGAAATTGAGAAAGGCAGTTTATGACTTTTATGCAAAGAACAGGACTCGCAAGAAGAACAAGAGGACACAGAAGTGACTGGGAGAGATTGATTACGAAGCACTTGGGAGAGAAGTTTGAGATGAGGATGACCCAGCCGATTATGCCAAACGCTTGACGACTGCTTCGTCACGGTGGTTAAAGCAAGGCGAACAGGCTGAGGAGCAATCGGCAACTCGTACACATCCCCCTTATTCCGGCCGCGTTGCAGATGCGCCCCCGTGGCTAGATCCTTCACAACAAAAAAATCAGAAAAGAATTCCACGGAGACCGGATTAGATTTACATAGTTGAGCAACAGACAATAGGCGACGTTTGATGGCAGGGACACAAAGAACATCACGAAGAGACAAATGTCGCATAGGTGTAGATAAGGAAGAGTGGCCAATATGAGAGATATGCAGACCTGAACCATCACCAATGAGAACCTCATCAGGACCATTATAATCAGTGTACAAGTTGAGAGAGCCAAGATCGGGAGTCATATGATTGGTAGCAGCAGAATCCACTAGCCAGCCAGGAGCAGCAGACGAGATAGCAGTGGAATGGGCCTGGGGACGGCCAGGAAGCCGATAGCACTCTTTGGCTGTGTGATTAGGTTTGTCACAATATTGGCAGAACACCTGGGGTCGGCCGAGCAGAGAGGGACTAGAAGAACTGCCCTGATACAGAGGTTGAGAACGAGCCGGGGAGGCACCTCGTGGAGAGCGAGGGCCCGAGTCACGCCGTGGATGCACATCATAGGCCGAGGAATAATGCGGAGCAGGGAGGCGGCGAGAGCCACCAGGAGAGCGAGACGACGGAGCCGAGGTGTAGGGACGACCACGAGCAGAGGAAAAAGCCGTCGTGGGCGCCGACAACGAGGACAGACGAGCAGAAGCGAGGTCAGCCTCAAAATCCACGAGGCGATCATGGAGATCCTCAATGGCAATCGGAGTGTCGCGAGCACGAATCGCGGCTGCAAGCTGACCAAACTCATCACGAAGACCGCGTAGGATATGGAGAATAAGATCCTCGTCGGAGACGGGGTCATTGATGAGGGCTAGCTCGGCCGCCGTTGTGCGCTGGGCCTGGAGATAAACAGCAACCGCGCGACTGCCCTGACGCTCACGGCCCATTTTCTCCTTGAGACTGATAATGCGCTGGCGAGATTGACTCGCAAACATCCGCTCCAGAATCGTCCACGCCTGGCGCGACGACGTAGCAGCGGAGACATAGGGAGCAACCCCAGGTGACATTGAAGCTAAAATGGAGTGCAGAATCAACTAGTCTTGGCGATACCAGTGGCGGCGAATGGCAGCATCAGCAGTGGCGGCCGGTTCAGGAAAAGTTCCATCCAAGAACTTGAGGAGATCGAGGCCGCGCATGAGAGTGGTGAGTTGAGCGCGCCAGGTGGGAAAATTATCACCGGTGAGTTTGGTGGGAAGTTGAGAGGCCGGATTGAGGGTAATGACGGTATTGGCATCGTCAAGATTAATGACAGTCTCGCCGGAGTTCATGGCCATGACGAAGCGTAGCAATGGGGCGCAGGAAGAAAGAAGAAGAAGAAAAAAGGTAGGCAAGAAGAAAGAGAGGAACGTGAGTAGTTTGTTTTGTTTTTAGGGTTAAGGAGATCAGATCAACAGCTCTGATACCATGTGAGTGATGGAAAGTAGTGATTGTATTCATGTAGGAGAGTGGTTTAAATACCACATCTTGAACAGAAACGTAGCTACAACTAAGGGGCCACTTAGCCACTAACTAACTGAATTACAATTGATAAATACATAATGAAAAATAATTAACATCATGGAGATATGCTCTTATCAATTTATACGACACTACTGCCAGCTATACCGGGTTGTTACAAACCCACCTCCTTCAGGAACAACTTGTCCTTAAGATGGAACTAAGATGGAAAGGAGGGGAACTGCTTCTTGAAGGTGTACAAATCCTCCCACGTAGCTTTTTATGTGTTATGATGTGTCTATTGGACTAAGACTTGCGTCACAACTCGGTTGTCTCATATCACAAATATTCTAGCCAGGATGTGAGCTGGTGCGAGCTTCAAGGTGCAACTATTGTCTGAATCTGGAAGTTCTAGAGTAGCAGGGGGAGCGGTGGATTTATATGTTTTGATCACAAGAATGAAGATAATGGCACCAGAGTTATTAATGAAGATAATGACGTTGTTGAGAAGAAGAAAGAGGTTACATGATTATAAAGATATAGATTTTAGAGATGGAGAGGACTTTGTTATTAGTGGATATGAAGATGCTACTAATAACGAAGCAATCTCAAAGAAGTCCAAAACTATTTCTAGTATTTATGATATCAAGGTTTGCTAAGTCTTTAAATGTTGGTTTCCTTGCATATGTTTTTTTTTTCATTTTCAGTAAAGTACTTTCGTCGATGAATTGATTAAGATGTTGGAAAATTTTATAATGTATACTCCTTTTGGATTTTTTGGTAATTAAATAATTTGGATTCTTTATGATTTTAGAGAAAAATGTGTCATACTTTATATCATTGTAATTGTTGTTTAAATCCTTGATCAAATGAACCCGACCATCGGGTCGGGCCCAAATATAGTAAATTGATAAAAAAAAAATCTTAACTACATATTTCGAGTAATTTTTTAATACAATATTTATAAAAAACCAAAATGAATATCTGGTTAAAGCTAGTTAATTAATGAAGTAGAATCTTATATCGATCCACACAAAAAGGAACAAGCCAGAAGGGGGAAACTCATGAACAATGGCGGCGATGGTGAAGGAGAACTCGCTGGAGGAAGGGAGTTTTCTGACAATTTTACTGAGTTTTCGACGAGTGTTTGGTGGGAGTGTAGGAAGAAGAAAGAGATCATGGATTTAAAGAGTTTTGGGAATTGAGGCAAGAGAAAGATCAATTAGAACAAAATTTTTGGTCGACTTTAAATATATTATTGAGGCGAGCTCACCCCATTATTTGAACGGTGCTCGTCCCAACTCATTTATTGGAATCGTAAATTGGGAAATTTTTTTATCACTACAATATTTTGGGTATTTTTTTAAAAATCACAAAATTTCTGAAAAAAACCCAAATCGTGTCAGGTAAAATCCAATTAATTAAATGAAGTAGAATCTTATATCCGTACACACAAATAAGGAACAAGGCCCGAAGGGGGAAACTCACAAACAATGGCGACTATGGTGGAGGAGAACTCAACGGAACAAACCCTACCGGAAGAGATGCAGCAGCAGCAGCAGAAGCCCGGGAGCAGTAGTAGTAATGGTGATAAAAACCCCAGCCAGTCGCAGGTATGGATGACGATGGCTCAAGCTTGGCTGTCCGCCTTCCCCGACGCCAAGGCTGTGAGTACCGCCGATGTCGAGGCCTGGATCGACTCCAATTACAGCTCTTTACCAACCGACCTTCAGTCCATGCCTCGCTCCGAGATCATCCATCGCCTCCTCTCCATTCAGAACTACATGAGACCTTCTCCTCAGGTTCCTTTGCCCATTCATTGCTTGCCTTCCCACAAGTTCATGCTCCTCGACTTGTGCCTTCTCGTTGTCCGTTCAATTGCTCGACTTTCCCCTCGCATGTGGCGCTTTGAATACCTAGTTGATTGATTCTAGGGTTTCAAGAACGTGATTGAAACTGATTGTTATAATTCCCCGCCCATTGCTCTCGCCTCTCAGGGCAACAAGTTTATGTTTTGGAAGACTGGATTGGAATTGTTTAGATGGGTAAGCGTTAGTCTTCTGGAATCAGGATAATTGGAGGAGTCAGTGACGAGTTCATTGAATGTGTAATAACACAGGCAAACCCTCTTTCCACTTTGAGTCTCCTTGTGTTCTCTTTAGTGGTGGTGTGATCTTTTTACTGATACAAGTGATGACCCAAGAGCTCTTGTATGCAAAGATTGGACTTTATCCAACCCTTCGGTGGAGCAAAGACTGGACTTTTTATTCTGCAATAATCTTTGTAATCAGTTGCTTTCTCTTTTTGTAGCCGGTGGCAGTGGTGAAACCGGTTGACATATCAAGCGATATTCCCAGCTACCGGTTCCAACGCACAGATCGATGGCTGCCAGTTTATTCATGGTTGGAGACCTTGGACAGTGACGAGGTGGTTAAGTCTAAAGAAATCTATGACTGGTTAGATTCCAACCCAGATATCAAAGAAGACTTGTTCTCCAGACACTCGCGGTACCATTTGATGCATTACATCAAGAAGTGCCATTTCAAGATACTCAAGAAGAGGGATAAAAAGAAGGTCCGGACTAGATTTCATATTGTTAAAACTTTTTCCCTAGACGATGGACTAATTACTTTGCTTGCCCTGTTGTTTGAATTGTTTGTATGATGATAAGCTTATGGCTTTCAATGGCACAGGAATCCCAGCAGGCAGACAAACCAATCTCGCCCAACGCACACAATAGTATTGTGGAGTTTAAGGAACCACCAGCACCACCTGCAACTATAAGTATGTCTTATTACTGAAAATCATTCAGACTGTTTGCACTGTTTACCCGCCACCCCCCTTGGAGTTCAGCCTTTACTTGAAGCTGTAACTCATATCTGATTCGTTTTCTTTTTGTGTTGAAATGAATGTTGCAGGCAAACAACTGATCAGTATACCCAAAGATAGTGACCTGTATGCAGCCAAAAGAAATGAAGCTGTTCAAAAGTATGAGATGTGAGTGCTTTCCTTCTCCCCATTTCGGATGTTTTTTTATGTCTATATTGTACATCAGTACATCATTAATGATTGAAGTTCTTAATTTCAGCTTATTGGAGTTGGAGAAGAAGCTCACGCCTCACTTTTCGAAGCGCCAAAAGCTGCAGTGAAGCAATCTTACTTGACGGTCGAGATTTTTGCCCTGATTTATGTCCACTCCTAGCGGTAGTGAATCAAGTTATTGTAAGTAGGCAAACTCCACTGCGGATGGTGACTTGAGAAGTCGATGCGGCCGAGGAAAGAAGAAAACCACTGTCTATTAGTGTAAAATATGGAATGTAGGGGCTAAGGAACTGCTCTGCCTTGTCCCCCATCCATTACAGCTCGATGTGCGTGGCTGGCATCCCATATGTGCTGAATGAAGCTAGGCAGTTGAAAAGTTGAAAAAGAGTGGGACGATGATATCTAGAGTAATAGGTGTTGGAATGAAGGATGGCCTCCAAGTGGGGTGTTGCTCTCATCTCATCAGTCCGTTGGCGCTTGTAGTTTTCAAGAGAAGTCTCTTAGTCTTTAATTAATCATTTGGCTTGTTGGGATAGAAAGAAATTAAGTATATTGTAAACTGGCATGATGTCTTTATTTTTTCTAATCAAAATTGAAGCAATGTCTTGGATATTACCGTCCCACTGCTGGAAAGCAGAAGCCAGAAACAGAGGAGGGAAGACCAAACCCCACGAAACACCATGGAAATGGATTAGGATGATATCAAGATGAAGAAGTAATGGCAGGATTAACAGAAACATCATCCAATCCAACACAACACGCCCCGCCACGATAATCCTTTTAAGAAACCACCTGGGTCGGAATTCAATTTATCATAACAAGTTAACCCAATATCCAAATTAGGGATGACAATTTCGACCTGACCCGTTTTACCCGATCTGTTTGACCTGTTTTGGGGCGGGTCCGACCCGCCCCGTAGGCGGGGCGGAGCGGGCATGGGTAGTCTCATCGACCCGACCTGCCATGACCCGCCCCATTCTCGACCCGTTCTTGTCTAAATTACATGAAATCTTAGTCGAATTACTTTGAATTTTCCTTTTATTGCATCATATTTTAGCTATAATAAAGTTATAAATTAGTGAAAACCTCAATTTCTCCAATAATTTAACTACAATTGTCATAATATTGTTTGTTTTCTTAGTTTTATAATAAAAATAACGAATATTTCTAATGTTTTTCATGTAAATTGCATACCCATTGGGTCGACCTGCCCCGACCCGCGACCTGTGATCAATTACCCGACCTGGACCCGCCCTGCCACGGGGCGGGTCTGGGTACCAAGAAACCCGCCCCGGACCTGCCCCATTGCCATTCCTAATCCAAACTCTGGAATATCCCAATCCGAGTCCCGCAAATCTGTCCCTACAAAGAAAAAACAAGCAGTAGCCCAGTAGTTGCTTGGGAAAGAAGTCCCCCTCTGCCTCTAGGAGGTGCGGGGAAAAAGACAAAACCGAGAATGGCATCATAAGGGCAGAGTTCGCAATTTTCCAGGCTCAGCTTAGAAGCCCCGGTATAAAAACAGAGCAATCAATCCATTACCAGAGTCACGCACTCACTCACTCTGCCGGCCTTGTATTTGTTTCTCCATCCATACAGAACAGGGGCGGGAGCTCCGAGGCAGGCAGGCTGAAGATGGCCATGCCGTGCGTACTTTTTCTTCTTCTTCTTCTACAATGTCTGGCTTTCAATCAAGCAGCTGGAGCCATGGCTTCTGGCGGGGAGCAGCCGCTTGCCCAGATTGGCATCCACCGTGCTGTCTTCGCTCTCCACGGAAACGCTTCTATCAAAGCAAATCACTCCCTTCTCGGCACCAAGGTCGCTCACAAACAACTTCCCCTGCTTCTCGTCCTCGTTGTTTTCTCTTCCTTCTTTCTGGGTCCGAAAAAAGTTTGGTGCTTAGATGGATGGATGGTTGTTGTTTTCGTTGACAGGGAGAAGACAGTGAATGGGTAACTGTAAAATTCCGTATTCCCACGGCTTCCCCAGACTATTGGATTGCTGTGTTTTCTCCTGCCAAATTCAAGTAATGCCCTTTTCCTTCCCAGCTTTCGGCCCTCTTCTTCTTCTTATTCTCTGGTTTCTCTTCCCACCACTATTGGATTGCATTTATATATGGGTTTTTGTTCTGGGCAGCTCATCATCTTGTCCAGCAGGCGATGAAAGGCGGGTGCAGCCGCCATACATATGCTCTGCTCCAATTAAGGTACTTTACTGCTCTGCTCTGCTCTGCTCTCCTCTTTTCTCCATCTATCTTCCATTTCCTTTTCAGTTTCTTCTCTACTTGACTGATTGATGCCAACTTTTCCCATCTCTCCAGTACAAATTTGCGAATGAGTCCAGCTCCAAGTATGTAAAGACAGGAAAGGGGTCTTTGAAATTCCAACTCATCAACCAGCGCCAGGACTTCTCTTTCGCTTTGTTTTCCGGTGGATTATCAAACGTAAGAACATGCCCATTGCCCAATAATCAACCATACCACTTTCGATTCACAAACTAAACTATTTGATTTCCTGTGTGGATAACGCAGCCAACCCTGGTGGCAGTCTCTGCGCCCATTAGTTTCGCGAATCCAAAGGCGCCCCTTTATCCCCGCCTTGCTCAAGGGAAGTCCTGGAATGAAGTAAGCCAGTTAGTTAGTCCCCTTTGTTTCTCTACTGTCTTCACTTACATTCGCTTCAATTCAAGATTCATGTCTTCTCTTGGCGGCCCAGATGACAGTAACCTGGACGAGCGGCTACAACATCGATGAAGCTGTCCCTTTTCTTCAATGGGGTCTGAAAGGAGATACCCAAATTCGATCACCAGCTGGAACCCTAACGTTTAACAGAAACAGCATGTGTGGTATGTCCCTTTTCTTCCTTCTCTTCATTAAGCGAGGATGGCTGTGAGATTCCATTCCCCAAACCTGATTACTTACAAGAACTTACAAGTGTGTGTTGCTTGTTTGTTTGTGAAGGCCCCCCTGCAAGAACAGTCGGCTGGCGCGATCCTGGCTTCTTTCACACCAGTTTCCTCAAAGATTTGTGGCCAAACTCGGTGTAAGATTTCTCTTCAATTCTATCCAAAGTCCCCCATCAGCAGTTTATCGTGGTTCTTCTGATTGTGTTCTTGGCAACTTTTTTCTGCTTTTTCTAGCTACACTTACAAGATGGGTCATATGCTATCCAACAATGGATCAATCGTGTGGAGCAAGAGCTATTCCTTCAAATCATCCCCTTATCCAGGACAGGACTCGTTGCAGCGTGTCATCATTTTTGGTGACATGGGGAAGGTAAGAAAACATTTCCCAACTATTACTCTAGATGAAAATCAACAAACAAAGATAAACTTGAACAATGGAACTTTTATCCTGTTGTTCCATGAATCAATAACTTTTGTTGCATTCTTTTCTCAATATTTGTGATGAGTAAGGCTGAACGCGACGGCTCCAATGAGTACAACAACTATCAGCCAGGGTCACTCAACACCACAGATACATTGATCAAGGATTTGGACAATTACGACATTGTGTTTCATATTGGTGACATCTCATATGCCAATGGCTACATCTCTCAATGGGATCAGTTCACACAAATGGTGGAGCCCATTGCATCAACCGTGCCTTACATGGTCGCCAGGTTTGTGCTTACACATATATTTTGGGATGTACAACCTTCTTCCTCTCTATCTATAGTGTGGTGAGGAAGGGAACCCATTAGAAGGAAACACAAAAAGAATCAAACAACCTTTTTCTTCTTCACATCTACAGTGGGAATCATGAACGTGACTACCCAGGTTCCGGATCCTTCTATGACACGAATGATTCAGGTGGCGAATGTGGAGTCGTAGCAGAGACGATGTTCTACGTCCCAGCTGAGAACAGAGCCAAGTTTTGGTTAGTACTAATGGAGATGTAAAAAGAAAATACTTGCACGTTACTTAAATCTCACGTCACACTAAAGGAGTTTTACCTTTGTTTTTACTTTTCACCCCATTTCATCTTCACAGGTATTCAACAGATTATGGGATGTTCCATTTCTGCGTAGCTGACACGGAACACGACTGGAGGGAAGGCTCTGAACAATACAAGTTCATAGAGAAGTGCCTTGCCTCAGCCGACAGACAAAAGCAGCCATGGCTGGTCTTCATAGCTCACAGAGTCCTCGGCTACTCTTCGAACTCCTTCTACGCGATGCAAGGATCGTTCGAGGAGCCCATGGGTCGAGATGACATGCAGAAGCTGTGGCAGAAGTACAAAGTGGATATCGCATTCTTTGGCCATGTCCATAACTATGAAAGAACTTGCCCCATCTACCAGGTATAAAAGGTCGAATCTTTGGGGTCGATTCCCTGCGAAACTCCCTTAGTGCATTGATACATTTTGCTTTCGTGACAGAACATATGTGTGAACAAGGAGAAGACGCACTACTCGGGCACAGTAAATGGAACAATCAACGTTGTGGTTGGAGGTGGAGGGAGCCATTTGTCAGATTTCACTCCATTGCAGACATATTGGAGCATTTACAAAGACCACGACTATGGGTTTGTGAAGTTGACAGCTTACAATCATTCCTCGCTTCTATTCGAGTACAAGAAGAGCAGCGATGGAGTGGTTTATGATTCATTCACCATTTCGAGGGACTACAGGGATGTTTTGGCTTGTGTCCATGACGGATGTGAAGCAACTACATGGGCCATGTGAAGCACACACATTATACTCATACGTACAATACAGTTCGAAATTTTTGGTAGAAAATTGTAGTCCACCTCAGTCTTGATCGTGCATACGAACACCATAATTATATGAAAATTTAATTTTCCATTTTTTTTGTTAGCTTAAATGCATGTGTCCAGTTACAACTTGACGCCAAGAACATGTACAGGAGATACACAACCAGTTAATCGTGTTCAAGTCCAATACCTTTAGGGTGCGTTTGGATACAATGATTTGAATTTGGTATTTGTGATTTGGATTTCCAAATACCAAATCATGTGTTTGGATATTAATTACATTTGGTATTTGGATTTGTGTCAAATTCATGGGGTGATTTCCAAATACACGTCTAGTGTATTTTTTGTCAAGTTCAAATACATTTCAACAACTAGTGATTTGAAATACCTCATAACAAAAAATTGGACCTATTTGTAAAATATGAAAAGTTTAGGTACTATAGTGTGACGAAAAACATATAAAGGTAACAAAATGTAATTTTACCATCAAAATTTCAGGACCTTTTTGTAAAATTTTAAAATTTTAGGTACTAAATTGTAAGAAAAAATAAATTTGGGTACCAAACTGTAATTTACCAAAATTTGTAGTAAGTGACCAGAAATTTAAAAATTCAAATTGAAAACCGTAAAATACAAAATACAAACAAATTACAAATGAGTATCCAAACAATGAATTTGAATTACATATATTTCAAATGCTAATATTTCAAATACATTCATTTCAAATGCTAGTATTTCAAATACCCTACATTTAAAATACACTTATTCAAACGCACCCTTAGTGAATATGATTCTACAGAACCAAAATCACTCGAGCCAAGGTTGAGATTGACTAGACATACAGAGGACGGGTTTGAGGAGGCCTTTGAAGGAGAGAGGTAAGATAAATCTAGATGAGCTATATTATGAAATCAACATAATGAAATACATTAATTAAATCCACCCCAGAAACCCAATCCATATCATAAGAAGAAATGGGAAAGAGTGCAGGGCAAGCCTTGTTCGAATATGCTCGACTTCGAGCAACAATTGCTTCTAACATTGCTCCTCCACCTATCGATGTTGCAAATTATGAACATTTCACATCAAAACTCCAAATGGACCTTGACTGAGTTGGAGGAACATAGGCCAAAAATATGGTCCAACATTTAAAAAGTTCTATAAAGATATGCGATTCAGTGCATTTTTATGGGATTATTATATATAGCGATTGGGCTACACATGTTTCCCTTCTCACTAATGGAAAATGCAAAGGTTTGGATGGATTTGCAAACTATGGGGACTTCTTGCATCTAAGATGTATTTGGACATGATTTTTGGAAGGAATATTCCCTTCTTGGAGGAGTGAGGAACTCAAACAAAACTACCTCACTTTAGAGAGAGAGAGCCATTGTATGACATCTAACAAAGATTCTAGAGACTTTTTCATGCTGGTTCACACCATGATGTTTGGTTAGGAGAGGCTTGCCGATATTTCACAATCATTGCTGGAAATTAAATTCAAAAATAGCTACGGAGGATTGCTCCTAGATCAGTCCAGTCAGTTAATGGGTAGGACAATAATTTTAGGGAGTTGCTAAAGGTCACCTTTAAAATTGCTAAAGGTCGCCCTAAAAAGAATCAAAGTTACACTTTTAATCCCCTTAGCTTCTTTACCTTCCCTTCCTCAAACAAACATCACTTGGACTAAAAAAACACTATCTAAGGAGAGAAAAATCCATCATCGTCATTTTGAAGCCGATATCGTCGGTAGGACGTCTGAATCATGAGTAGCGACTCCGACGAGGTAAAAACATGAACTGAAAAAAAAAAAATGGGAACCGCAGGTCACTTGCGGTTCGATCATGGTTCAACCGCAAGTGACCTGCGGTTGGACCATGGCTGGACCTCAAATCACCTGCGATTGTACCATGGCTGGACCGCAATTGACCTGCGGTTCAGCCATGGTTCAACCACAGGTCACTTGCGGTTGGGCATTTTTTGGGGTTTTTTTTTCGTTGAATAATTTTCTATTTTTTATATGATATATGATTTGTTCCATGAAATAATTTGTTGGGTTTTGATTTATATAATTTTCTAGATTTATTTGCATAATTATTTTTGGAATTGAAGGATTTAGCATTAGAAATTAAGATTAGATTTGGCCTTAAATTAAGATTAGATTTAATTTGGTCTTAATCTAGAAAATTAAGATTAGATTTTGCATTACAAATTAAGATTAAATTTATTGCATAAATAATAGATTCGCATATGAAGTTATGATGATTATTAAATTTAAAATAGTTATGAAATTTTAAATTTATCATATGGTACTCTTTAAATTGACGATATAGAATGTTAAGTTTTTTTTTTTTAAATTTGCGGGGTATCACTTATAAATTCTGATAACATTGCAGGATATTGGAAGTTACAATCCGGATGGCCGTGATTACACCTCGGATTTCATTGATTGCGTGAAATACACTACGGAGTTGCAAGCATATGAAGCAGCTACTGAGATTGCCAAGGGTTTTGGGTTTTATTTGGTGAGGGCATCGAACAAAAAAAATAAGAATGAAGGTACTTGGCGACATTACTTACATTGCACTCATGGTAGGAAGAAGAAGTCGAAGGAACCTGATCCGAGTAAGGAAAGGAGGCCTCTTACATCTACTGAAAAGTTGGGGTGCGAGTTTCAGATCAAGTTTGATCGGTCCGGTGATGGATATTGGTTGATCCTAGGGGTGGCAAATACAAAGAATCCTGGTGCTAATTTGGGTTTCCACAATCATCAGTTGGAGCTATTTCCGGAGGGATCAAAGGGAAGAAATGTTTTGACTACAGAGGATAAGCAATACATCAGAGAGCTGAGATCAGCCGATGTCCCACCAAGGAATATCCACAAGGCAGTGAATGACAGAAAAGGTGCAAATGGAACACACAACAGAAAGCAGATTTATAACGAATGTCACAAGATAAGGAAAGAAGAGCTTGGTAAGATGACAGCCTTACAGTATACTTTCCGCATGGTGCAGGAGAAGGGTTACTATGTGCAGTATATGGACGATCGTAACGTGCTTACACACTTGTTCCTAGCCCACCCCGAGTCAATAGTGATGTTGCGAGCTTGGCACCATGTGATCGTGATAGATGCAACATACAAGACCAATAAGTATGATATGCCTTGGGTTGAGATTGTCGGCATGACACCAGTGGGATTGAACTTTGTCATTGCATCTGCAATAGTGTACGATGAGACGTAGGAGTCGTACCAGTGGCTTCTGACGCATTTGCAACATCTTCTTGGCCCCATTGTTCCAGATGTGTATGTCAGTGACAAGGCAGGAGGATTGGTTGAGAACGTGGGGGTAATGTTTCCATCATCGACTCATATATTATGTCTTTGGCATATAGATAGGAATGTGAGAGCAAAGTGTCTAGCGGAGGTGCGAAGGACGACTCATTGTGGTATAGATGCAGCCAAACCGACAGTGGATCATATCATGGCGTCTTGGCAACGTGCTGTATATGCATTGACAGTGGAAGACATGGATACTGCCTTAGACAATTTCAGACGTAGTTGGGGAGTACAGTACCGACGTCTTTGGGGGTATATGGCAGCTGAGTGGTTACCAGTTAGACACATGTGGGCTAAATGTTATACCAATCAAGTGCGGCATTTGGGTAACACAAGCTCTAATAGGGTTGAAGCTGCCCATTCCTCCTTCAAGAAGTGGCTTCAATCATCTACTGGCGCAGTCGACACGGTTAGTCTCCTAATAAATCTTCATTGATACACACATAAGTTTTAGTAGTCTCCTAATTGTTCTTCATTTGGGTAGGTATTCAAGAAGAACGATGATTACATTGAGGCTCAACACCTTCAAATCAGGAAGCTTCTAGAGGATTCCCGACAAAAGAAGCTGCTCCGAGCGGATGGAAAACCATTTCGAGAGTTGAATACGAAAGTCACTCTAGAAGCTCTGAGGTTGATGTTGTTCGAGGTAGCAGTGGAAGGGGAACCTTGTACATGTACGTTTCCTCCTACCTATGGTCTCCCATGTAGATGTTCCATTCAGTTAGCGCGACGTGAAAATCGGGATTTCGCCTTGTATGATGTGTTGCCATTCTGGACCGTTATCAACTATTGTGAACCTCCTACTCGGCCGGAGTGGGATGACCATAGTGATTACCACAGTGGTGTGTTCCAAGGTCTAGTACATGAGGTTCTTGATAGAGGCGACGAGACCATTCGAGGTGCAATCGGCCTACTCCGGAGCCATCTTCATCCTGAAAATGATGGCATTGATGAACCGCATGGGGGACAGCCCCGCCCCGGTCGCCCAAGGACGTCCACCACTCGAACCTATCTCACTTCGAGCATGTGGAGAGGAGACGAGGGAGGAGAAGTTCAAGACTTCCGACTGCAACTCCGGACAATGATGAAAATACAGGTAGATTAACCTTTTCTTTTAGTTGTGTTCAATTGTCCTCAACATAGTGTCAACTAATCTATTTTTTTAAATGAGATAGGTGGTGCCCCGAATGTGAATGCACAAACCAACTTCGAGGATGAGACGGAGCCGGTGATCCATAATGATACAGGTTAGAAATTATATTCCTAATTTCGGGTAAACATATTGTATAACTCTTTGTATTAATTTATTGTGTTATGCTCTTTGACTAGATGGTGCCCCGTGGAGGGTTGCTCGGATTCCCAATACTAGTTGGAAGAATTACCCATGGCTACATTGTTTGGAATCCTACGTGCAACGACTAGTTCGTGGTTGGTTCAACCCTATTCCAGATGGACACTGTGGATTTCGAGCTATATCACAAGCAGTTACTGGGGACCAAAGGAATTGGCCACAAATGAGACTCGCTGTTGTAGAGGAGCTTGAATCCCGTCATGAGCTTTATAGAGACTACTATGATGGAATAGCAAATGGAATAGAAAATGGCATTCGACGTTGCAGGTGGGCATCAACAAGTGGCTGTGGACCTCCCAACTGGATGGATAATGCGGAACTCTTCGTCTTCGCCACCTTGCATTCATGGGCTATCGTTGTATACAGTCAAGACGGTCGTTATACCGTGCTACCTGTGACGGCCCCACTAGGAGTAACAAGACCACGTGGGATCTTATCACTACATTTTACGGGGGATCATTGGGTGCGACTTGACTTTCGACATGGTCAAGTGCCCATGCCTCCAATT